TTGTTTAATCTAATGAATTTGATTGTAAATAGTTATGCCAGCACAGAGCGGCCAGCTTTAGTAAATAGCTACTGTGGCATCCAAACAGCCTGTCAGCTGCGACACGTCACAGCAACAAAACAACAGCCACTTTTCTGCAACGTGCCCTCTCAATTAACTGAAAGCACTGCCAGCTGCAGGGCTCCTTTAGAAAAATCACTTATTTCACCAGGGGTGCCCACGCAACTCAACTGTTACAAGTTGCCTCCCGACACAGGCACAGATAAGGCCTAAGTGCTCCAAATGGTCTTTGCTACAGCAGAATCAAAGCCTAGAGTGGCCAGTCCACTCCAAAACCTCATTTACTTAAAAGAGCTTTACCAAATTGTGTGGGTTTTCCCAAACCCACCACAACAATCCACTGCGTGTGTACAGCTACTCCTCATTTAAGAGGAACTAAGAAGTATAGAGGAGGCTTTTCTGATTCAACAACATCTCAAATGAAACCGCACACGTGGATTTAAACCTGAGAATAATAAAGTCATTTTGAACGTTAAAATAAGAATGCATAAAATGCATATGGTGCAATTCAGGACATCTCATTAATGCTCGAGTAAATATTCCTTTTTGTGGCATTTATCATTCTCAGCATAATCCCTAAAATACTATTAAATGGGAATTTGGTATGTAAGTGGATCAGATGATCTACTTATGATGAGATGATCACCAGCTTTCTAGCAGTATTTCTAACAATACTATCCTTTAGTATTTCTAACAATACTATCCTTTAAAGGCTTTGGGTTTTGGGGAAGTCGAGACACATGCACACCAGCATATGCAATCAGGTATAGAAGCATGCAACCCATTTATTATTGCAACAAACCAGCTGTGACATTAAGCGCAAATTTGCTACTCCTTTTATTTTCTATCATCTCTAGGCACCAGTAACAAATCTGAGAAGGATGTATTAGAGATGCTCGAGAAAACAGGAAAAATCTTGATACTGAACTCATTTGTATAGATTTATATTCATGTCTTTTCAGATATACATAACACATAGAGCATTAAATACTAACTGCCAGTGAAGATCCTTTGATAAAGGTTATCTTAAGATTTAGACTGAACACACTCATTAATGGAAAAGGTGCCCCTCATTCAACTAACTTTGATTTCATTTGTTCTTGTGCATACCAGTACCACTTCACACATTCTGCTTAAGACTGAAAAGTCAAAGTTGATGTTAAACAGCAAGTTAGTTTTAAAATAAATGGTGATCATACCCAAAGCATAAAATGGCTTTCTCGAGATAAAGAAGGGACCTTACAAATACTCATCTTACTCTAAGTGCTGGAACAATAAAAAATGAAAAATGAAAAAGTATGATGAGGACTCAATTCAGGAAAAATAAGACCCTGGCAGCAAGGCCAAGAAAGGTCTATAAAAAAAAGTTTAAAGACGACTGACAAAAAACCCCTGAAAAATAAACTGTTTTTCATTTGCAAGAATGTTGTCATCACATTGAGCAGCAGATACCGCAAAGTGATTTTGCTCAGCATCTTTATTGTCACCATAGAAGAGCACTGCGGAGTAGCGGAGACATCTGAGACAATGTCTGCATAATGCTGTTTCAGGGCAAACAGAATACAAGGAAGAAACATGAGCTCAGTGATGAAGGGATTCGTTACATTGAGGGGAAAAGGGGACTCTGTAAATGAGGAGAAGGAAGGAAATGTATTTTTAACTCAGTCAGGACATTTGCTAGAGCCCTCTGGAAGTTCCAACAGGACAGTGTTGTTCTCAAACGCATCTGATACAGAAAGAGAAGAGCTCAACTGTTGCATATATATATATATACACACACACACACATATATATATATGGACTAGATTACAGACTACTTCCAGCTGCTGCCAGGGCGGAAAGCATTCCTGCTCTCTCATCACATACACTGAGAATAGGACAGATCTACTTTCACCTCACGATAGTGTCGGATGAATACTCCTTGGGAGCTGAGTGCATATCTTTGAAGGTAAATCTGTCCTAACCTTAATGATGATGCTAAAGTAAAAGAAAGTAGAATGCAAAAAGATGTCTACAGATTAAATTAAATGCCCCTGAAAAGTCTTAAAGAATCACTGGAAAATTGGTTAGAAGTTTGCCAATTTTGTCTCCCCACCCCCTCTTGACAGATTTATCTAACTTCTTTTTAAAAATACCCAGTGACAGATATCCCATATACTCCCAGACAATCCATTCTAGTATTCAACTTCCCATTTGCAACTCATTCTTTACGTCTAAATTTCTCTTGCTCATTACTTAAATCCATTGCTTCTTATCCTTATCACAGCAGACATATCAAACAGCTTGTTCCTTGGTGGTTCACAGTTGATATTCAGCACTTCTGGTTCCACCCTTTATCCTAAACCTCTAAATAAGAAACATGTAAGAGTATTGTTATTAAAAGACATTATTTCCCTAACTTGAAGTATCTGCTTTTTTTTCCTCAAGAGACAGTAGTGGAAACTAGATAGTGATGTAGCTTTAAGGTCCCTTGCACATTTTGCATCCTACTCCTAAACCTGTGGAGCCTTGTGTTGCACTGAACCCTGCAAAACTGGCAAAGGGGCTCCCTCCTTTAGATATCTGGTCCTGGTCTGGACCGGGACACAGTCATCTCCTTCCCTCTGACTACAATCCCATTTAAAGGGCAACCCTTTCCTTTCTCTCCAAATCAAGTAAACACTTGATTTCACAGTTCTATAGGCAGCAGTTCCGATTTTACTGTCAAGGGAGTGGTTCACTTTTTCCTGTCTCAAAAAGGGCGATGTTTGGCCACGTTCCAAGACAAATGCGATCAGATAAAAGGTCTGGCAAGAAAATCAACATTTGGCATTTATAGCTTGCTTAGAGATACGCAGTGCAGAAGAAAGTTGCTGTCTCAAACGGATTAAAATCTGAATATGAGATTTTACTATGACCACAATGAAAGATCTTGGACAGAATAACTGTTTTCAAGTGCATCTTACTAAGCAAGAACATGTTATTCCTTACCAGTTTGGTGAGACAAAGGTTTTAAAAAGAATGTGCACGAAAGAAAACCAACTTGGCAAAATCTTATCTGGGTGCTTTCTGATGCCCCCAGCTGGAAGTGGTAAATTTGCCACACTGTAGGCAATGGATCAATCATTTTGGCAAATATCAAATCCTTTTAACACATTAGGTATTTAAAGAAATAAACAAGCTTGATATTTCAGCTGTCTAAAAACCAAAACTTCTGGGGACAGAGTTGGAAATGATTCGGCCACTGCCATCACAAGTCCCACTAAAATTACAATGCAAATAGAAGAGAAGGGAACACGCAAGGATAGAGATCCAAGATTTGTTCTCACTTCAGAGCTGCTCCCTTTCTGGATGCTGTACCTCATCTGATTCTGGATTGGGGGCAAATGAGTCACAAGAAACCAATTTATGTCTGAAATCACGATTCCCCCAACAATGCTTATCCTAGGTTTTATGGTTTCCATAGGAACTAATGTATTTGAAATAAAAGAAAAATAATATGATAAATGGGAAGCATAAAATACCTTGCAATAGCGTGGGTATGTGTAGCACTAGTTGTTAGTGGTCTGCTATGGAATGAGTTATGAGTTGCCTTCTTCAGTAATGGCTTTTCCATTGAGAAGTAACATAGCCTCACATAACTGCATTACTAACACTTTACATTTCACCAGTAAAAAATTATTACCAATGAATTTCCTTGTTTTTGAAGCAAAATCCACTTTTATCACATTTGAAATAAGTATCTGACCACATTCTGAGTGGTGTTTCTGTTGAAATTATTAAGAACTTGGGTTGCTACTTTTTTTGGTAGCGTTGAGGTCTTTACCCTTTAGCTTGAAGTTCTGTCAGTCAGCGAATCTCTTGAGTGACATGGATTTAGTAGTCAGATAATATCACTTCACACCAACCAAGGGACTGCATACAACAAGTTACACACTGGAAAGTTACACTATGTTTGAAAAAGGTGACACCACCATGAAATGTAAAGATTATTTTTAAATCTCTGTAGCTTAATATACCATAACAAAATTATTCTAAGATGATTCACTGCTTTCACGAAATACTTAGGACATGCGGAATGCATTTCAGCACATATGCTGTTCTTTAAAATATTCCACACTTCCATCAAGAAGCCCTAGTCAGCCAGACACAGAGTTCAAGAGTACAGAGAATAATTCTATGATGTCCAACCAGGATTAAGTTTGCGAGATAAGCATGTGGGAGATGACCTTCTTACTTGCAAATAAAAATAGCAGGATTTAACAGCATATATTAGATCTTATTTACTAAAACCAGAGACAAGGAAAATACTGGAACACAGACATCTTTTGTCAGTTACTAGTTTTGATTGGTAGATATTTTTAAAGCGAGATGATGCAATATAATCTGTTTAGAAATGAGAGTGGAAGCAAGTCATAACAATCATCCTCACTCTGCCAATAAGAACATTAACAAAGTGGATTTAGACTCTAAATGGGAAATGATGTTTCCATTTTTCCCAGAAGATACAAATATCACAGGTTAAGCCACGTAGGACAAGTATTTTTTTACTGGAGAGGCACACAAAATTAATCTTCATTCCACTCATGCTCTGTCCTCTGCCACCGCTCCCCACCTTTCCAAAGGAGGGTAACTTCCTATTTGCAGTTTTGTCTGAGAAAAAAACCCTAACACTCGATTAGGCTCCCTATTATGGTTGTATGTCAACTATTAAAGCTTCATCTGCAGGCATTTGCCATTTCAGTGTTGCTCAAAACCACCTCTGAATTAGGTATTCTTTGTTCAGAGAAGGTAAGGCCCCAATGAAGAGTATAACAGGTCATGTCATGCAGTTGAAACCGAGTAGCAGACTAATTCCTAATGCTATAAGATTGATTTAGCAAAGGCTGGTTAAATAATTGCAAGCTCAATATAAAACACTGATAATTATTTAAAGTCCTTCAAAGATTTCTAATGCTTACCTCAATGGCTCTTGTTTCAAAACTTCCGTACGTTTCTGTTGGGAGAAAAACAGGGTATTACATTTCCTTGTATTACTCACCCATCAGCACAGCTCCCTGTAGGTGGTATAATTTTAAAAGGACACAATTTTTATGCAGCTGTAACTTATGAATTAATCTCAACAGTTAAGTAGAAAAGGTAAGAATGATTTGAACAAACTTATCTAAAGCAAGCTTTATTAGTCTCTTCCTTTTTAAAAGACCACAAATACATTTATTTTAATTGCCTCCATTCATTCAATTTCTTCTAGGATAAGGTCAGTGAAAAAAACAGCATATAGCTCTTACTTACAAAGCATAGGTTTTTTCATTTCTTCAGTAAAACCAACATACGTAGAGAAAACTAGCTTTAAAGAAAATCCAGTTAAAATAACTTCCCAGAAAGTGTAACACTACTTGTTCTTATTATAATACAGCTCCTGCTCTAATTAAGAGATGACAACTCTCTAATACGTTCGTTGTACTCTATTCGTGACCCCAACCTCCAACTGCAATCAATAGCTCAACTTTTTAGGTACCATACACACAGGGAAGTAAGATGGAACCAGTTTCCAAAGACTGTCCAACCTAAATGACCAGACTAGCAAAAAGGAAGAAAAATAATAATATTTTATTCAAATATTAAAGCAAGACATACTGATTTAAGTGCTTTGTTTGACCATTATACAGAAAGCAAAGCTGACAGAAAAACTGAGACAGCCTCAGAATCTGTTGAATATTTTGATCACAAGCTAAGCTATACATACTCTCCAAATGACATCTGAAACTTCCTTTTGGAAATCACTGCAACACACCACTTACACTGAGGCATTTTTGTTAAATTATGTGTGGTATTCTTCCTAATTCTTTCCAACTGCAGAAATGCTACGAAAAATAACCATCCACAGTGTGTTACAAAACCAGAATATTTTGGTTTTTCACTGGTTGGCAGTATAAACTGCCTTCTTTCCTAAATACTGCTCTAGAACTAGTAAATTAACCCCAAATTTCATATACACTGAGAAAAGGCTGTAAATGGTTAAAAAATAAAAAGTTAAATCACCAAATGGGTCACTTCCATCATGACCAAACTATTATCTAATATTTTTCAGAATATTCTGAAACTTGGATTAGACAAACAAGAGGGATTCAAAGAAATTTTAAGTATTTACTGATATGTATTTCTGTGAAATTCCAGAAAGGGGAGGGGGAGGACAAAACCAAACAATACATAGCCACTTCAAAGAATCACATAGCCAGACTCTTTTTTTTTTTTTTTTTTCTTCTCAATTTTGCCTGAAAAAATGTCTTTGCAATCAAGGACAATTGCAGCATCATTTATTTGTCTAGTCACAGTTAGAATGTTTTGCACTGTAAAATAAAGATCGCTTCTATGTCACATCTGTGTCCCCGTCTTTTCGTCACAGTGGTAACGAGCCACTGGACACAGAGCTCTGTTTGGGTGAACATTACATATTCCCCTCAAAGTGGCGCACGTATCCCTTCCACTGCACAGAAAGCAAGTTTCTGCTCTGTCATTAGAAGGGACCTCAAAGTAGTAAGATGTTTTTGAAATGTCTTCAAACACTGTGGAGGAGGAAAAAGCCGGAATATTGTAGAGCACAAGGCATGGCAGGGGCATCTACACGTACTGTCCTCCAAAGACAGTAAGTGAAATGAGAAAGCACAAAACCCAGTCAGACCTTTCCCACAGGCCTTCACCCTGACACGCTGTGAGAAAAGTCAGCAAGCAAATCCCTTCAGTTTGGCTTTCAGCAGCCCCACCAGCATTTGTCAAAACCCGTATTACAGAAGCAGGCAAAAATGCTGCAAAAAAAAAAAAAAAAAAAATCACAGATACTGCAAAAAGGATCCCATTTTCTCCAAGATTCTCTTCCAAATTCTGATGACCACACAAACACCTGAACATAAATCTCAAACGTATTTGTTTCCTTTTATATAATTGAGAACATACTTACAACTGATCTGTATTTTAATGCAGACACATTTTCCACAAGGAGTACCCTATTATCAGCTTAGCAGTGCAAGAATACCTACCGACTTTGAAAACAATGGGCAATGGAGTAAAAAGCAACATCTCGGTATAAGAAGCAGACTAGATAAGAGATCCTTCCAAGCTCCTGCTTTTCCAATTTATCTTCTCAGTGTAACATAGAAGACCAGTGTTAATTAAAGCATTTAATACTTATTTCATTTGGTACAGTTACAGTGAGATTCTGGAGAAGAGCTGAAAATGAAGAACTGGGGACTCATTCCTTCACCAAACACTGCTTTATCGTTTGCACATAACCTCCATAACTATAGCCATGATCATCTCAACACAATATAGAGATCTCTTAGTGTACAAGTAGATTTCTAGCTCGCAGTAGAGGATATGGATGCCAACAGGCACTCTCATCCCTCTCTGAAGCCTCTTCAGTTGCAAAGAAACGCTGTAAACTTGGAAGAAAAAGAATTTTATTTCCAACTAAAAAATACCGTTCTTTCTCTTACTTATTATGCCAGCTATAAGTAAAGTGAAGTGGAATAAGATCCTCCTGAAACAATAAAGCATATACAACCACAGTATGTCCCCAGTGTGGTTGGTTTTTTTTTTTTTTTTTTTTTTTTAAACATATTTGCCAATTTCAAGCAAATTTGTCAGATATTGGAGGCTGACAACACTGAGGTTTCTACAAACTTCCTGTACCTGTTTTCCTTAGCAAATATGAAATGCTGCTGAAGGAAGCTGCAGCATATACTCAACCTCTGTTTGCTACTAGAGAATCTAATACCAGAATACCAGGAAGGGCTGAACTGCAGAATCTCAATCAGAACTCATTCTTGCCTAGTCACCAAGGAACCCAGCCACGCCACAGTCCCAGGACAAAGGGATTCCTTGAGTTTGGCAGTTTCAGGTCTGTTCCTCCTACCACCTTCACAGTGCTTTGAACACAGCCAATGTCTCAGTTGCCCTGCAAAATCATTAATTCTCTGAATAAAAAGATGCTGAAGGAACTATGGGGACCTGAAAATCCCTGCAATTTTTAACTTGTTAAAGGAAAAGTAGTGTATACTAATTAGAAACTGCTTTTTCTCAAGCACGTTTATAATACAAGCTGTCAGTTTAATTTTCGTATTTTGATTGTAGTACCCTTTCCTATTTTTGGCAGAACTTGACCTGACTACAACAGCCTCCACACAGCCAACTTTTACGCAAGTAATCTAAATCAATAGTATCAGCCAAAAGCAAAACCAAGGAAAGCAGCAGAAGGGAAAATTCACACATGCATAAATGTTGTTTGCCACTTCTTTTAGTGGGAATAAAGTACTTGAAAATACATTTGAGTCTAAAACCAACACAGTCTTTTGTTCAAAGTGTGGAACTAGAACCCTGAAATGTTCTTGACTTTCTGTATATTCCACCACTGACTTATGGGGAATTTGGAACAATGAATTAATTTCTCAAATCTTCTATTTTTCAGCTGTAAGATTCAGTGATAGTCTGCCAAGTCTATTGTCACATCTTTTGCCTTCCATGGAACATTTGCTTTCAAGGTAATAAAATGAAACAGAGGGAAGTAAATATAGGAAATCTTTCATTTGTATATTTAGTATTATGCTGGCATTAAACTAGAATGGCCTGCTCTTAAAACGGAAGACAAGCAAAAACTACTTGAAGAGATGGGAGGCAAGCTGTCCTTAAATTCACAAGGTTAAATGTGAGGGAAACAGTGTATGTCAGACACTACCACAACAGAAGCCCCAAAATCATCTATACCAGCTACAGGAATGGAAAACCTGGGAAGGGAACAGAGAAGTAGCAGATAGAACAGCATAATTTGTAAAGCAGAAAGCTACAAAAATGCTAGCGTAACTTCAGTCTACACAGATAAAAGCATTAGGTCACACTGGAAAGACAATGTTCTCACTACCTAATGGCTTAGGTTCAAAACACGTCTGAATTTTTAATTAACATCCAAGAGAATGTAACGGGAAAAATCTTCACAGACAGAAATTAATAAACAAAACACCAGGAAGACTGGGGAGAAAAGGTGACTGCAAGATTAGACAATAATATAATCATGATTCCACGCGTGTGATTTGCCATTTACATTGACTTGCTGCAACACATGTTCCAAGATCCACGCTTGCACTGGGAGAACATATTCCTGGATGAAGAGAGCTCTGAAAACCTGAACGAGCTTAACACCACAATGATTGCAACAAGCCTGAAACAACAGTGCTAGGGAACTTCAACTGTCTGTCTTAGCTCATCTTACTAAAAAAGCCTACAGAAAGATGACAATAAACACACAAGCATCAAGTGCTTCACAAGAAAAACCCAGCTGAATACGAGGAACAATTTGTTTTCATATTTAATTAGTTGAAAGGGACAGGGCTTTTAAATGTTGAACAAAGCTACTATAGAATTTCTAGTGGTCTAAATAACAGCTAAGGTCACCTCTCTGCTCTAGGTATAGGACCTCTAGTTTCACTACGATATTAACCAGGCAGCAAATAAATAAATAAAAAACGTCTACATTTAAGCTACATCATCTTTAACCATATTTCATTATTTGATGTAGAAAAAAAAAGCCTGATTTATCCCACAGGATCCTTTAAGAAACTATAAAAAACCCCCCCCGGGCTGTACTTCACACTCAAGACAACTGATGTTGAACACAGAAAAATATTTCCATACTTGAAGACTCCTATAACAGCCTACAACATAATACAGTATAACATCATACAGTGTACATACATAATACAATAGTCTAACAGCTATATTAAAATGAGCAGTGATTTGACAAATTTGTGTTAACACAACTTGTTCTTTGATTTAGCTGCTTTGCTTCATGTATGGGCATAGAAGAGAAGTACAAACCGGATTTTTCAATCACAGGAAAAGTCTGGGTCTCCCTTTCTCTGAGCTCCTTATCACAAAGGCTAAATAAGACTAAGATAGATAATCAGTTTTCTTACCTCCATTAGGACCTGGGTCAGGAGGATCTAGAATGACCCCTCCCCAAACCTTTCCACTCCATCCTCCCTCTCTCTTAATTTTTATTTTTCTTTTCTTCTCCCATGTGTCTCTCTGCTGAACAATATCAGACTGAATTCTCTCTTGTTCTTCTTTTTTCCGTTGGGTAATTGCTTGGACTCTCCCACTCTGCACTAGAGGAGCATTAAGACCAGGCCAGAGGAAACCAGAACGTCCTTAAAAATAAGGGAGAAAAATTACGGTTTATGCCAAAATAGAGCTGAAGCTCTGTACACGGGAAAAATGCAACAAAATGGCAGGTGCTGGTATATTTGAAGTGCATTTTATGATACAGAATTTATATTTAAAAACCAAGAATAACATTAAACAATCACATCAGGATTTTTTTTTTAAAAGACAAAAATATCTCAAGCAGTTCTGACACCACAGAAATTAACAGAAATTTATTAAGAAACACTATATATTAAAAGGTCAAGACAGGTCTTCAGCCCCTTATTTGTGAATCTACCTTCACCAATATCCTGGCCTTTATTGAGATTCTTCCTTATCTTTTTCTTCCTTCTCTTTCCTCTTCCTTTCTTTACTCCCACACCAGTCTCTGCCAAAGCTCCTTTCCACAGCTCATCTGCTGTCACTGAAATAAAAAAGCTTTCATAAGTAATGTGCAAGTACAGCTCATACTGGAAACTAAAGCTGAACAAAAAAAAAAAAACAAACCAACTTGAAATGTTAACCCTTGCTTGATCTTTGCAGGGCATTTAAACTGTAGGATTACTGTCTTGCTAAGAAGGTGAGTTCCTACTCTGTATATATGTATCTGGTACAGAGATGTGTCTCTACTCCTGATGACTGAAATCAGATAGGCCCACTGCCTGCTGCATGGCTTTTAAAAGGATTTAAAAAATTGATTTAAAGGTAAATTTTACTAACCAGTAACGAAAAAGGTATTAATCCCCAGGCCATTAAAAGGAAATCATTCATTAGTAACTCAGAGCAGCAATACCTGTAAGCACTTATCCAAGGATAAATACCAACGACAGTCAGCTTGAATCACTCCTACAAATACCCAAGGGTTAGCCTGCTTTAAAAAAGCCACAAACCACAGAAAGTTAACCAACATAAATCTGCTGCTGCTCTCGTGTCCTGACAAAATACAAGGTCCCCCCCTTATTGCCCGAATAAATGCAAAGAAATTGAAGGAGGAAAGAATGTAAGACACTTGCAACAGCCTCGTCATCAGAGAGCTCGGGCTTTGGGCAGACCCCCTCACCCAGTGCCGGTGTAGAGGACATGCACTGCCTTAAGATGTTTCACCCCATGTATGAGAGCATGACTTCGGAAGCACTTAGTTAGGAGCTGACTTCAAACTATTATCTGCCCGACTGATGGAAACATAGCTCATCCTCGTAACTTCAGACAAAAACAAACTGCACCAAAACGAAGCTGATGACCTGAAGAAGACACCACAGACAGTATCTCACCCTGTTAGCCCAGACAAGGCGGCTATCACCATGGAATACACAAGCATCACCATTGTTATATTTGCAGATTACTGCTATTATGTGTTTCACCCAAGGGCAATGTTACTATGGCAGTTTAAATCTCTTCTCCAATGAGAAACTGATATTGTTTATTTAAAGTAGACAAAAGAAGTCAGTAAATGCTTTTAACCAGGGGAATCAAAATAACTATGCTCAAATCCCTCCAGTTTTCCATCAGCAATTCATGCTTGCTAGATTAATGCATGTGAGAGATCCTGTCCCACAGACTGGCAAGCGCAATGGAACTGGGGAGACCGCTATGGTGACAACACGGTGAGGCTCGAGAGCTATCCAGGATTTCCAGGGGTACCAAGTGCCCAAGTTTATTTTTATACTGAATAAGTTTGTACAAGGCGCCAAGGTGGTTCTTCCAAAGGTATGATGCCCGCCTTCTCAGTGAAAAATCCTTTTCAAAGTGGGATACGTAACTGTGATTCTTTTTTTGAGAAGTACAGTCCTGAATCAAGTAGTTAATAACTCAGTACAGGAAAGTAAGCATACAAGGAAGGACACACAGCTCTACAAGTCCAGAAAGCTACAAAATAGTATTCCCTCAAGATGGGCAAGAGCAGAATGGTCTAGAAAGTCAACACATGCCCAAATAACATATTGTACAAATAGTACAACAAGGCAAACTATGTAATACAGATTTCAGCTGTATTACAGACAAGTAGAAATGCCCATGGATAACAGCAACATTTATCACACCTGCACGCTGTGAGGCAAGAATTCTATTTGCTCCTGGGTAGGCCTTAGTCCTTGTGAAAAATAAATTTCTATCTGAAATGACACTTTTTTCTAGACATTCAAGTGAACCCTAATGTCCAGAGGTTTATGGCTAAAAAAAAAAAAATCCCATAAACAGTAACTGTATCAAATGGCTGTAACAGTGTTTGAACTGACAGACGCTAAAAAAAATTTCCAACTGATGATAACAAACTGATGCATGTAACTGTGTGTTAAATGAAAAACAAAACAAAACAAAAAAACAATCCAAAAAACAAACCAAAAACCCAAACCAAAATAAAACCAAACAAAACTTCCAGTGCAACTTCACTGCTCACTCAGCATATTACTTTCAATAAAAGCCAAACTATGATAAATAAAACTACTAAACTGTCTACAAGTAGTGATTATCACCCTAAGATAACACTGCAATAAAGTTCAGTATAGAAAAAGACTGGTGCTAAGTGTGTAGGGGATGATGCAGCTTTTCATGTTCTAACATGGATTATAGGACTGTTGCATGAGTTGGAAGATTGACAATCAATCCCGTTAAGCTTCTTAGCTTATTCAGAAAACACTGCGTAACTAGCAATTTCCTTTTTTTACGATAATCCTGCTAGCCTGGAAACATGGTATTACAATAAAAGTATTTACATTTTTCTTTGCAAGGTTATTTTTAAGCTGGAACAGTTCCCCAATCTACTGCAGTTTGTGTGGTCTCACAGAGGGTCACGACAGCTACAAAGGAGGTTGCAGAGAGGCAGCAACAAACAGTTAAGAGTCAAGAACAGGGAGCTCTTGCGCTGGTAACACTCAAAAAACCCCCAGCACTTTGAGCTGTATTCTAAATATCTGTACGATAAGATGACTTAACCCCAACAGAGTTAAGTAGCAGAAGTCACAGAGTAAGGAGATTGTTTTCTACCAGAGGAGACCAGTCAATACCAACAGACCCAGCCAGACGAGGTTAGCCTGAGTCAAGTTTTGGCCTCAAGCACCGCACAAATTCTGACAAAATTAGAACCAGCTGAAAACATCTCATTTGATACCAAAGTGCAGTCATCTAATCAGTCTATAATAATATCATCATGTGTTTGGAGAGCAGCGGAATTTAATGAAACACATCAGAAGCCTACAGGCTACAGAGCTGAGAGTTCTTTATAAGATGGCAGATACCACATTGATTTTAAGACAAAGTGACAAGAATGGAATATGGAAAAGGACAGGCTGTGGTCAAGAAGATTACAATGGTGGGGACACCGCTTACAATGGAGAGGCAACACAGAAATGAAGAAAATAAAAATCTGACCATAAGAAAGGTCAGTCTGATTTGTCAACATAGCACCAAGATGACTGGAGAGTACATACATAAGCAGGAGAAATGCCTTCTCTTGGAGGAAATAAACCCAAACAGAAATGAGGATTGCTCTATCGCTTTTCACATCGACAGAAATGCTCTGAAATGAAGACAGTACAGTAGGTATGCACTCTCCTAGGGTATTTGTGGCCTTACCTTTATTTTGCCTTTGTAAAATGGGAGGCTGCATACATTCCTCCAGAGCTAAAATAGACCCAGTCATAAAAGCCACCACACATTTCCAGTCAGTTACCAAAAAGCACATAGCTACTCACTCAAAAGAAAAAAAAACAGGTCATACGTAAGATTTTATTTTATGGCCTAGAAAAAGACTACTGAATTTCGCTGAGAGCATGCTTTATGCAAGTTGATCGCTAACAACCGCTAATAGGAAGTCTGTATGACACCATTCCATTTTGCTTAATCTACATAAGAGATGTTTGTAATATTCTGAAAAGGATTTGGGTTTGTGTGTTTTTATACTACCCCTGAATGTCAGGAACCAGACAGTCCTAGTGCTTACTTCAGAGAAAGATGAATATACGACCATAAGTCAGTTACTCACATGTAACAATAACTCACAAGGGCAAGAAAAAAAAGCTTTTACAGGTACCTTGGTGATAAAAGGAAGATAAGGGAAAATGTGGGCCCTCCCAGGAAGGAAAAGGGAGACTTGGTCACCCAGGCTATGAAGAAGGCTGAGGTACTCAGTGTCTTTTTTAGCCTCAGGCTTCACCAGCAAGAGCTTCAGCCACAGCACCCAAGACACAGAAGGCAAAGGTAGGGACTGGGAAAATGAAGAACTGCCCACTGTAGGAGAAGATCAGGTTCGAAACCATCTAAGCAACCTGAAGATGCACAAGTCCATGGGGCCCGATGAGATGCATCCACAGGTCCTGAGGAAACAGGCAGATGAAGTGGCTAAGCCACTATCCATCATATTTGAGAAGTTGTGGCAGCCCGGCAAAGTTCCCGCTGAGTGGAAAAGGCGAAACACAACCCACGTTTTTTAAAAGGGAAAGAAAAAACAACATGGGGAACTACAGGCCAGTCAGTCTCACTGCTGTGCCTGGCAAGATCATGGAGTGGATCCTCCTGGAAACTCTGCTAGGGCACATGGAAAATAAGGAGGTGACTGGTGACGGCCAGCACAGCTTCACTAAGGACAAATAGTGCCTGATGAATGTGGCGGCTTTCTACAAAGTGGTTACAGTGCTGGTGGATAAGGGAGGAGTGACTGATGTCACCTACCTGGTCTTGTACAAAGCATTTGACACTGTCCCACACGACCTCCTTGTCTCTAAATTGGAGACACAGATTTGATGGCTGGACTGCTTAGTGGATAAGGAATTGGCTGGATGGTCACGCTCAAAGAGTTGCAGTCAATGGCTTGCTGTCCAAGCGGAGAGCGGTGACGAGCGGCATTCCTCAGGGGTCGGTATTGGCACCAGTGCTGTTAAACACCTTTGGTGGAGACATGGACTGTGGGATTGAGCACACTCTCTGGAAGTTCACTGCTGACACCAAGCTGTGTGGTGTGGTGACAAGCTGGAGGGAAGGGATGCCATCCAGAGGGATCCTGACAGGCCTGAGAGGTGGGCCCGGGCAAAAAGCTCATGAAATTCAAGAAGGCCAAGTACAGGGTCCTGCACACGGGTCGGGGCAATCCCAAGCACAAATCCAGGCTGGGTGGAGAGTGGACTGAGGAGGACTTGGTGGTATTAGTGGATGGAAAACTGCCTGTGAGCCAGCAATGTGCGCTCACAGCCCAGAACCCCCCCGTGCCCTGGGCTTCAGACAGAGCAGGGGGGGCAGCAGGGCCAGGGAGGGGATTCTTCCCCTCTCCTCCGCTCTGGGGAGACCCCCCTGCAGTGCTGGGGCCAGCTTGGGGGCCCCCAACAGCAGAAGGACCCGGAGCTGCTCGAGCGGGGCCAGAGGAGGCCACGGAGATGCTGGGGGGGCTGGAGCAGCTCCCCTGGGGGGCCGGGCTGAGAGAGTTGGGGGGGTTCA